CTATTTTGATACCCTTTCCCATTTTAGTTTCTTGAATATTTCCTTGAGGCAGGCTAGTAAACAGCTTTGGTGAGATGGTGTCGCCCTGTCTAACGCTTTTTTAAATTGGTATTTTATCGGTTTCCGTGTGGAGTTTGATGGTTGCTGTCTTCATCTTTGTATATATCTTTCCAATATATTACAATATACCTTTCTCAACTCCCCTGTTGTTGAATAGTACTAATACTGCTGGTATTTGTACAGAGTCAAATGCCTTTTCATAATCGATTGAATCCATACACAGGGGTTTCCTATATTCGTTTTTTACTTTTATTGGGTGAGCGTGTGGATGTGATCTGTTGTTGAGAATCCGCTGCGGAAGCCTGCCTGTTCTCTAGGCTGGCTGGAATCCAGACTGTCTGAGATGCGAGCTGTAATGACTTACGTGAACAGTTTATAAGTAACCGAAAGGAGGCTTATGGGTCGGTAATTTTTTAAATCCTTTTTATCGCCTTTTTTGTGTAACAGATATTGTTGCATTTTCCAGGCTTTCGGAGTTTTTCCGCTGAGAAGACATTTGTTAAAAGATTAGCTAGTTTCACTGTTGCGATGTCTCCTGCATCTAATATGAGGTCTATACTAATTCCGTCTTCGCCTGGTGTTTTCCTCTCTTCATGCCTTTAAGTGGCTCTTTTTTTATTTCTTCTTTTGTGATATTAGGTAGCGTCTCTAGTTAACCGTGTTTGCTTCCATTTGTGGCTGTTCGTTTGAGTTTGTAATAGATCCCTGTTAAAAAGTCTTCCCTACTTGATGATTTCATTCTTGTTATATGTACATTTGATTTCTCCCTATTCCTAGTCTTCTTTTAGCTGCTTTCATGCTGGTACCTGAAATCAATGCTTCATTTATCATTTGAGTATTGAATTTCCGTACATCTTCCTCTTCTTTTATTTATGGTCTTTGTTAGTTCAAACAATTCTATCTTGTCCGTGTTTGACGATCCCTTTCATGTCTCTACGTTTTTGCATAAGCTGTTTAGTTTCTACCGAGAGCTTGCTGGAGCTTCGATTGTCGTTCTTGCCGCCTACTTCAAGTGCAGCTTCTTTTATTATATCATTGAACTGTTTATTGATTTGGTCGATGTTGAGATCTTCGTCGCGGAGGAGTGAATATCTGTTTTGGATGTTTTAGGCTTAAATTCTGTTGCTCTGATCCTCAAGTTAGCCAAGTTTGAGCTGTGCGTTAATAAACATTAGTTTGTTCTTTTCCCTCCTGAGATGTATTTTAATTTCGCCTCTCACCATTCTATGGTCGGCTGCCCTACATTTCATTTTATTTATAACCTCTACCATTTTTTATATTCTATCCGCGCCTATTTGAAATTATGAGTCAATTTCGTTTTTCGACGTCAGAAGGCGACTTCCCATGTCCACTTCCGTTCGCAGTCTTTTTTCGAAGAATGTTATTCATGATACTGAGTGATCGAGCCTCCGCAAAAGTCGACTAGCATTTGTCCCCTCTCGTTTCTAGTGCCTGTTTCCATGGTTCCGCTACTGCTGTTTCGCCTCTGTCTTTTTACCTATTTTGGCATTAAATATCCCCATAATTATTGTGAATGGGTTTTTGTTCTCTCGCTGGCTAACTGAACATCTCATAGCTTCTCTATTTCTTCATCACTGTTGGCTGCAGGTTGGTGGAGCATAGTTTGTACCTATTGTTTAGTTTTTATTGTTACAGAAGCCACTCGCTCTTCGCTGACACTATAGAATTCTACGATTGTTCTTTTCTAAGCGTTTGTGTATTAAGATCCTATCCCCCAATTCCTGTTTTTGCCTACCCAAGAGGTTTTTCCTCTCTAATGAGAGCCGCTGTCCCTCATTTATCTAACTTCTGCTCTTCGCCTAGTCTTCTAAACTTCTGCAGAGTCTACTACATCCGGCACTTTAATGGGAAGAGGAGTTCCTCTTAGTAAAGCTAGTCGTCGGATTCAGTTTCATGGCTTATATTGTATGTGCGCACAGGTTCATCACGTGGGGCGGCCTGTCTTTTACCCGATATTTTTAGCACCCTCTGCTCCGGAGCGATCCTGATCGCCCGCCGTAAAAACCAGGGGTTGCCTTCCGCCTCCGGGGAAATGAGGGCCCCTTTCTTTGTTGTAAGTTATGATTTTTAATATTGGCGAGGTGGAGCCAGCCGATTTACCTCCACAGTTGTCTTTGGTATTAAATATAGTATTAATTGATATAAGATAAGTTATTGTAGGAAACGAAATTGAGTATTCGAATGGTAATTTTGAGGAATAAAATAAACATTAATTAACACTTAACATAACATAAACTAACCACCAACGTAACAACTTAACCTCCCAAGGCCAGGTACTTTAACCTATCGTGGATTAGAGTGATTTACGATCAAGTTTATGTGAGAAAACGAAATTTGGAGTCTCCTGGTTAAATTTGAGCCTAACCTAACCTAACCTAACCTAACCTAACCTAACCTAACCTAAGTAACCTAACCTAAC